AAAAAAAAACTTCAATTACCTGCTGGGTGCAGTTGAGGGATATGTTTAGCTAGGAAAGAAATAACCAAAACTGGATAATTAATCTGATTGGATCAAACATGTGTGTTTGTGCGTTGCGTTCAGTGCATCTAAAAACTACGATGTACTATAAATGTACATAGGTTTCTAAGCCTTTGAAGACGGTTCAGGTTGGGAATGTTGAATCCTTTCTTCCAGAGAAACATATGTCTATATATAAATAATAAGTTTTGTACCAGTTTTTGAGGCGTTCGAGCCTGTGGAACCTTAATAAAATCATTTCACTAGTAAATGAATTTTAGTCTTAAACGGTCATTTTGATCTTAACATCATCTAAAAAGTCTGTTCAATGAATTTTCTAACCCAGGAATAGATAATATTAGCTGTATTTAATAAAACCTTTCGGATTTTTGGCTCCTCAACACTCTTCAACTTCGCACTTGATTTGGCAATTTTAAACGTTTTTTGATTCAAGCGTCACTGATTAGTCATTTGTAGACGGAACGCGCGTCTGGCGTCCAAAATTTTAATCCTGGTATCTATGAAGAGTTTATTTTTTATGTAAATTTTCAAATTTGTCTATTGCGGTTAATTTAGTTTTGTTCATGCAATTCGCTTGCAGTCGATTCAGTACTGTTCAGTAGTTTCTCATACAATTCTGTATGTCTTTGTTGTGAACAGGTGTATGACATAAGTACTCAACAGTCTGAACATAGACTTAACAGTACTGAATTTACTGCAGTGAATAAACATAATAATTGACTGAAAGACTGAAAATAACCAAATAATTTATTGTTCCGATTTAAAGAGCTGTTAAGATCACAATGACCGTTTCAGACCAAATATGGTGTACTAGTGTTTGATGTTTGTAAACTCAAAGAAAACAATGGTGCGTCATCGTCTTTTGAGACTTTGAACCTGCGGAATCAGCGAAGTGTTAAAGAAACAAGTAGGAGGTATGTGTATTGCGATGAGATATATTCAACCAGTGGTGTCAATCAGATGTGGATTTTCAAAAATTCTAAAGATCTACTGCTAAATCTCAGATCACAGTCATTGCAATTTTGCAGCAATATTAGGACCTTTGATTTTTCTACGCTTTCCACTACTATACCCCATGCTCAATTGAAAGATCGACTTCACCATCTTATTAAACAGAGCTTTTTCGATAAAAATGGGAATCGTAGATATAAAAGAGGGACGAAAGATACTAGAGGGACAGTCAAATTCATAGATCGAAAACAAACTGACAACGCAATGGCCAAAAATAAAAAGACGAACAGACAAATAATAGTACAGATGACACAACATAGAAAACTAAAGACTAAGCAACACGAACCCCACCAAAAACTGGGGGTGATCTCAGGTGCTCCGGAAGGTAAGCAGATCCTGCTCCACATGTGGCACCCGTCGTGTTGCTTATGTTATTACAAATCTGGTAAATAGTCTAATTCGGTAGGTCACATTCGTGAAAAGGGAAGGGTATTGTAGTTACGACATAAGGAACATATCCGATATCATCCGTGAAACGGTTATTCCATAACGGTCAACCAACTCGTGATGGCGTCCGTAAAATTTACGAAGGGATGATTTCAACTCTGCCATTTGAACTCTTGGTTTATTAGCTTCCTTGTGAGCAGCAATCCTCTATTAAGGAAATTATAATAGGAAATACAAGCCCGGCAATATCGTATCAATTGGGAGATATATACTCCGTATGCAGACGCTGCTGGAATGTTGCTACATAGAAATGGAAAGTTCACAATTGGGAAGCTGAAATCATCACTTTTGTCGTAAAGTGTTGTTTTCAACCGACCCTCATTGTCAATTTCTAGATGTAGGTCAAGATATGAGGCAGACTTAACTGTATCTGTAGTATCCTTTATCTCTAGTTCGATGGGATAGATTCGTTCAACATAGTCATCAAATTTTGTATTATTTAGTGAGAAGACATCATCTATATAGTGGAACGTAAAGTTAAAGGACATTGCTAACTTCTTATCTTTCTTCCTAAGAAGTTCCTGTATGAAGTCAGCCTCATAATAATAAAGAAACAAGTCGGCAAGAAGAGGGGCACAATTGGTTCCCATTGAAATTCCGACGACTGTTGAAAAACACGTCCTCCAAACATAACAAATATGTTGTCAATCAAGAAATCAAGAATCTTGATAATGTCAGTTTCAGAGAATTTTTTGTTTGAATCAGAGTGATTCTTTACAAAGTAGGATTTATCTCTCCCCAAGACAAGATACTTGTATCTACGTTCGCCATTCTTTTTAATGAAACAAAGTAATACCAACTCTTTCAATTTAACTTTTAGTTTGGAATGGGGAATACTTGTGTAAAGTGTAGAAAAAGTCAAATGTTTTAATACTATTGCAAGATGAGAGAGTCTTAGATTGTATGTACTCTAAAAGATCTTTGGAATTTTTAAGTATCCACATCTGATTCACGCCCGGCTTTGATAGCTGATAAAATAGATGTTAATAATTTAGAAAGAGGTTTCGTGGAGCACTTGGAAGACCCAGCAATATACAGTTGTTTGTAAGGACACTTATGTAGTTTAGGTATCCAATACAGTGATGGAAGACCCAGTTCTTCATCTTTGGTTGAAATTCATAAGGAACATAGAACAGACCTATGATTATCCAGGATTTCCTCTTTGGTAAGTGTCGTGAGGGTATATATATAATTTCTTGTTTTGGGTTATAATAATTCTTATTTTGTGAAGAACCAAACTGATTCTTTCAGAAAATACAGTATAGATGATATTATCACAATGCTTGACTTAATCGACAATATATTTGTTGAGTTTGGAGGATTGATATTTCAACAGACAGTCGGTATTCCAATGGGTACTCGTATGAAGCAGAATTCATTCAAAACCTTCTAAAAGACAAATAGAAAAAGCACCTTGCAAGGTTCTTTAATTTTACTTTCAGATATATTGATGATGTCCTATCACTGAATAACCCATATTTCAGTCAGTACTTGCATCTCATATATCCCATTGAACTTAAAATTAAGGATACTACTGATTCAAGAAGGACTGCTTCATACCTTGATCTTTTTCTCAATATTGACACAGATGGACGACTTCACACTAAAATCTATGACAAACGGGATGATTTCAACTTCTCAATTATCAATTTCCCATTTCTTTGCAGTAACATACCCTCTGCTCCGTTGTATCGTGTGTAATTTCTCAATTGATACGTTATGCTCGTGCATGTTCACACTATACTGACTTCATATACAGAAGTGTGCTCCTTACGCAGAAACTGCTCCAACAGAGTTATGAGGAGGAAAGATTGAAAATGACACTCCGTAAATTTTATGGACACCATCACGAATTGGTTGATCTATACGAGGTGTCTGTGTCTAAAATAACTAATGACATTTTTAACACGTCTTAAATTGTGGTTTAACATCTATGTCGTCTGTCTGCTAAGTACCCAAAGTGACCTATTCCCGAATATGACTGTTATACCGAGAGTGAATTTACATTGCTTTACGACGTGTCTCGGTATTTTGTACATTCAACATTCATGTATTTATTTTTGGTGTTTTTGTTATGGTTTCTGTTGAATAATGTGTTGTATCGTATTGTTTGTTGTCCAAATAATTATGAAATTGCCTTTCAATACTATCATTGTCATATTCCCGAATATGACTGTTATACTGAATGTGAATTTGCATTGCTGTGCGGCGTGTCTCGGTGTTTTAAACATCCAACATTAATGGATTTATTTTGATGTTTCTGTTATGGTTTCGGTTGGATAATCTGTTATGTCTTAACATTTGCAGTCCAAATAATTATAAAAATTGCCTTTCCATACCATAATTGGCATGTAAATTATTTGGACGAACATTTTGAAAATAATTGTATAATGTTCGAGATTGCATGTTAGTTACGTAAGCGCGTCACTGTTTTGATATCCTTTGATGGAATATCTTCGTTGTTGTTCTGTGGTTTGCATATTGTGTCGACTATTATATTATTTGTTTGTACGTTTCTCTGTTATGAATGTTCTTGCATGTGTTTGTGCTGTATTTCTGTCACGTAGTGTTTTAGCGATATTTTTTAACATTGTCGTAAAGCGGAATTTTTAGCAGTTTAGGAATATGACAGTTGTTATAAAACAGTTCGTTTCTATGTGTGTTGGCGTTTGTTTTTGTTGAACTTCGATGTTCCTGTTGTTATTTTGTTTTCCTCTTATAATTGATGTGTTTCCTTCGGTTTTGGTTTGTTACCCGGATTTATCAATCGATTAATGACTTTTGTACACCGGTATACTACTGTTGCCTTTATTTTACGTAGGTTTGTGTGACCAACAAAGCTGTATAATTATTTATGAAATTTAAATCAAAATTTTTTCTTCTGCTCTCTCCAGAATTTGCTTTCTTCATTGATTTCCAAGGTATTTTCACTCGGAATTTTAAATTCAAAGAAAGTTATAACACAACAAACTATACACACTTCTGATCACATGATTATGTAGATTCTTTGGATCTTTTTTCTCTTCTTTCTCGATTTTTCACGATCTCCTGTCGACATTCACATTTTCTTATAGTTTCGCGGATTTTCTTGGAACGGTTAAATTTCTAGTGATATTTGTCGTTACTTCAATTCGATTCGTGAATAAGGAAATAAAACATCCTTTTAGGGGCCCATGATGTCTATTTTAGTTAAATAACCGTCATTTTTTCTAGATTTGTTTTCTATCGAATTTATTTGTCATAAACAACACGACGGATACTATAAATGAAAAAAAAATTTTTTTTCGAATCCTGGATTTCATCTAATTTCTTATATTTAGCTTTCTTTTATTGCTTATTGTAATTGTTTGTCTTTTTGTTTTAAATTGCGTAGTCTCTCTCTCTTCGTCCTATTTATTTCACCCCCCCCCCCCCTTTCTTGACGTCCTCTTACTTTTCTATACCAACCCCGTTTGTACTTAATTTTTGTGTTTTTTTTACAGATCAAACGTGCCGTAGTGCCCATCCATGGCCTGACATTTGAAACTGATTACAAGTTTAAAGTGACAGCCGTTAGTAAAAATGGAATTATTGAAAACCCAAAAGTCGCAAACTGGATCACGACTATGAAAGGTATATGACCTTAAAATTATTACTTATATTAATTAACACGCACTATTTCTTCCGTTTAAGTAATTTATTATCTACTTATTTCAGGGTTGATAAAAGCCTATATCCGACATTGATTTTTAAATATATTTAACAAATGAAAGCTCTAGGAAATATTAGTTAAGATAAAGCCCTTATCTATATGTTTGCGTTTGATTATTTCCCCAATTGAACTTTGTACATTACCTGCAGATTTACTATTTAGATGACCAATGTTAGTAGTTTCCACTTTATTATTGGTGTTTTTCCAGTGTTATATGGTCAAACGGGAAATGGCGTATACGGCAATGGAACAGCATCCAAAATAAAAGACTTTATATATATGGTAAACATATATGACATCAACATTCTAAACAAAAGATATGAGTTAATATAAGATTTCCTCGAGTTAAGAAACGTAAATGAATTTAACAAAGACAAAAAAAATATCTGTCTTTGATAATTAATTCTCTAAAGGATTAAACATTTAAATGTTACTAAGGAAAACCATTAAAATATCTTTACTGCGTCTGTGTATAGAGTTTTTTTTCCTGATATTTCAATAGTGCATTATTAACCTCTCAGAATAGCGATAACACATCGAGTCATTATTAGTTTTGATTGTTAAAGTTAATTTGCCATAATTCGACTTTACATCGTCATATTTTTTAGCGTTAGCAATTAGTCTTTGAGATTTTTTGAATAAATCTTTCCATATAATCTTCAACATACGAAATACTGACTTTGAGGAACATCTAATATGATTGGCCTATTGTTGTTTGCTGTAAGAATGATAGGAAATGTTTCTTGAACATTCAGGACGAGAGCAAATTAACAATGATTTATTTATTAGTTGACATTTAAAAGCGAGTTCTCCTGGATTGGTACTTTTTGTCTTTTCTAAATTGCTAGTTGTCTTGTGCTCATCATTTTCCGATAAGTCAAGCGCCCAAACTATGTTTTATTACTCCACAGTTTGTTTATGTACCTGTCCTAAGCCAAGAGACTAGTCGTGTGAGTGTTGTTAGCTAAAACCAGGGTGTTTCATTTAGAACTGTTTTACGTTTTTCATCACGGGCCCATAATAACTAACTATGCAATATGTCTTTTGATCATTGTTTAAGACCGTACGGGGACGTGCAGTTTATCCCAGAAGGTATCACCAGCCCAGTAGTCAGAACATCGGTGTTGACATAAATTATCATTGATATGGTCATAGTTATATATTGACTGTTTATAAAACTTTGAAATTTTCGAAATACTAAGGAGTTTCTAGCGCAGGACTAGATTACTTTAGCTGTAATTGAAAAAACCTTTCGAATTTTTTGCTTCTCAGTGCTCTTCAACTTCGGTCCAATTTTTGGCCTTTTTAACTTTTTTGATTTTTCGAGCGTCACTGATTAGTCTTTTGTGGACGAAACGCGCGTCTGTCGTACAAATTTTGATCCTGGTATCTATGATGAGTTAATTGTTTACATCCGTGTCCCTTAGTCTTTGGTTAATAGTTGTTTCCTGGGCAGTCATATATTATATCCTTATTTTGTGTATGTTTTAAATTCAAAATGTTAGATCATCTAGATGGACTTTAAGATGGCCACTACAAAAAGAGGTTGGATAAGACATAAATTTGGTTTCGCAAAAGGCTACTTTCGGACTTTACTGTGTTGCAAGTGTTCTTCAGCATACAAAGAGCGTAATACTCTTCATACACGTAGTATATGGTGTCACATTCCCTTTCTAACCGGGAGTGAATGAATTTGAAATGCATTCCTCAAAAACGGCGCTCCTTGTTAACATTAATTGGTTTAAATGCCGGTCAACCCTTGGGTTGTCGATAATACGTACCATTTACTGATTCCTACAAAGAAGACAAAGGTTAAAAGCAACATATCATAGAACCGAAACACAATAAAAAAATTCTTAAACCATCAAAAATTGCAATCGTTATGAAAATGTCGTGAAAAATCCTGTTTCGAAATCCACAGAGAAAAATCGACCTTTATGAAAATTGAATAAGTATAAAATATTTAGCTATAGACGATGTTTTTTACTTTACATATGCTTGTACATCGACGTGTTGTGAGATTAAAAAAATGTTCTTATATCCGAACTTTCTCTAATTATTGCATGCATAAATTTAACAATTGAAACATACAAATAGAAAAACAAAATAAAACAAGGCAGTACCTGAACCTTTAAAATGGTATTTAACAATGCAAGAAAAATGTACTTAAGCTATTGAATATGATTTCATGTTCATAATTGGCTTTATCGTTTTAAGATGAAAATGATAAAATGAGATAAGGTATAGGAGATGACAGACGCACGACAGTAACAGATGATTTGATTGATATCTCGGACATAAGCGACCACAATAAAACCAAAATTAGGATTGTTTATTTACTTTATATTACTGTGAGAGTCATGATAATTATCGTTCATCATAGAAATCTGTAAAATCGGCATTGTTGCGTAATAATTATGCTATAATTTTAACCAAAGAAACATTAAATCAAAGCTTTTATTTTTATTACTTTTTGATTGTCACATCTTGTGAGGTTTGATAAGCTCACTATCTATTCTAGTCCAGTGATAAACAGTATTCTCTGTCCTAAATATATCTTAGTGTAAAAAAAAGTCGTTTGAAGCGTTCGATGAACTTTTTTTAATTAAATTTGATCAGGAATGGTGAGTCAAAAGTTTTAATCAGAAAATATTAGGTATGAAATCATGGGGGCACACCAGTATAATAACTTGATATACATTCAATTAGCTTAAAGTATGTTAACCTAAGTAGTAGTAAAGTTCCAACAACGATGGTATGAACCCTTTTGAATTAAATCAAAAAGTAAAGTCGAAAACAGTTTTTGTGCTGATATTTATTGTGTGTTTTTATGTATCTTTAGTTATTCCACTGAATGAAATTAAAAGGAGAAGAATAAAATGTCTCAAAACTAGTTAAGGATGTACACCTCGGAGGAGCCGAACATTTCTAGAAAAAATCATATGGTGGTGCATTTCATTTTTTGTTACGGCCATTTGAAAGTACCCCATTTTAAATGATTTTCCTATTTTTCATCAATTTTTTACCCATTTTTAGTCTATTATCATGAAAACAATCACAATTTCACAATCAAACCTTTTTTTCATACTTTCTATAAAGATGAAGTGGACCAATCTGAATAAATTTAACTTAAAAAACTATAAGTTGGTGTTTATATTAGAAAATTCATACAAATGCTGTTGCTTTTTTCGTGTCAAATTGACCATGCTGTCAATTTTGTAAAGGAGTAGTAGGGCCAGGAAGGGTTAAAAACGGCCCTGTCTCAGAAATTGACGTAATTACTGCAGAAGGATCACTAACTAGTGTAGTTCATAAAACGATAACCATTAGACTTGTAACTGTGTTTGTATAATTTTCCAGGGCGCCAGAAAAGACCAAGGTACAATGGTATTTTAGCCATTTGCGCGTAACGTTAAAATTGTTTCATGAACGTTCTAGTAACTTTATAATCATTTTACCACAAGAATTGTTTTCCAAACTATTTCTTGAATCTCGTCCATATATCTTGTTTTTGTTTTAACTCTATTAACAGAAATTTACTAATATTAAGGCTTAAGCTGCACAAAAGCGCTTCAATTAATATTTTTATAAGTGGCCCGAATACTCGTTTTCTGTATTGATATTCTCGAAATAGCAGTTGCAGAGACTATGTAAACAAACATCATTCTATAGCATAGATTAAATTAAAAGTCATAAAGGATTTTAAAACATAAGCAATGAATGTCTTCTATTGGGCAGAAGGAATTTAAATTGACAGCTGTAAAATATCTTGACGAGCGAAGTACAGTCGTAAAAAATTATGAGGATAGTTGATCACACCACATCATCTTATTTGTATATGGAAAGAAAACCGTGATTCACTTAAACACAAACAAGTTTATTTTCTAGTAAAGAAGTAAAAGATGAAAACACAGATAAAGATAAACATTGTGAATAGACAGTACATAGCATAACATGTACTTCAATAATCATAGAACACATTATAATTGTACAGAAGTCATCAGACACCAAAACCACACGTGAACTCATAAACATCATTCTCATTCCGGAGGATTACATGCTTACTCTCAAAGCAACATTCAGAATTAAACACATGAATGAACAATAGTTTCATATAATACCGCCATTCATACGCCACTGACCACATTACATAGTACTGCTATCTCTAATTGTACCTAAGGCGCATGAAATATGTAGTCATCTGTAAAAATTGAAATATAATTCTTTCAAATGGTTCAATAAATCCTTTTTATATTTTCCCAGAACTTTTTTACTAGAAAAAGTAATAGTTTAAAGGCAGTGGCTATTTTGCCGGCGCCGCCAAAATTGAAAATATGCTATTTTGCCATTCTCGGTAAGCGGAAGCCAGCATGCCAGTAAAAAAGATTTTGTTTACAGATATTAAATTCAAAACTGACTATTATTTCAAAACTAAGTTTAATTTAAACATTTTTGATTTTGAAGCTATGTGATTGATTTTTTAAAGACTGTATAACGTTTTTATCAAACCGATATGCCATGAGATTTTGTCTTTCATTTTTTTACAGCATAGTTTAAAAATCTCAGATTTTATTCTTATGCATATATGTAGCATTAGACTGATATTAGTAGTAATTTCAACTACATTTTTTATATGATTTCCTTGCTTCAAATGGATGCTCAATAGTTTTTATTTTTATTCCTTTTTACAAATTCTTATTTTCACTTGGACTCATACATGTTTATAAACGATTATATGTATCTCAGATATTGTGACATTTATCTTATTCAGCTATATGTCGAATAATAATTTGATTCTTTTATGTTGACAATGCACATTTTCGTAGTGTTTTTCACAAGTAAATATTAAAATTCACTCTTTACAAAGAACCGGCTAAATAACAAATTCATTATATTGCCGGCGCCGGCAAAATAGTCATTG